TTGATTAAAATTCATCTTCTCTTACTCCTGTAATCTTTGTAAAAACAAAATGTTTTAAGACATTTTAAAAAATTCACCAACTCACCAAGTTTCACAGCTCCTCAGATAGTTCTGATTACATCGTAAACGCTTGTGATTTTCTTGATGTTATGAACGTGCATTTTAATCTTCCTAGAATTTCACAAAGGAAACAAATTACTTCACATAGAGCATTATGTCTAACAGATTCCTTCCAATGTTTTATTATGATAAATCTCAGAAGTACAGAAAACTGTTTAATAGGATGATAAATTCCCATATGCCCACCACGTAAATTCAATCATTGTTAATAATGTAGAACCATATGCAAGTGAGCTGCACACATCATGACATTTCTCTCCTATGTACTTAAGAATGCACCTTAAGGTCAAATAAAAAAAAAAGTATCAGTATTTTATATTTTTCCTCCCTCATACCTCTATTGTTGGTATTTATTTAAACTTCAAAATACTCTATTATTCAACGTGACAGAGAATCTTGTTTTTAGCAATTTAAAAAAAAATTTGTGTATTTGTCCATTTAGAGCTCAAACCAATTAAGGGATATAAGCCCCAGGTGCTTTTTTTTGATATTTTGACCAGGGAAAATTTCTGTTTCTGAGTTTTCTCTTGAACTGTTACTGAAGCTACATGCTCTTTGTTTTCCCTGTGTCTGTGTGTCTGTTTATAAATCAGAAAGGCCTACACTTTTCATTGTGTACCTCTAGAGGGTATTAATACATGAAATAATAAAGTCTCCTATGTTAAAGGAACTCTGTTCTAATTGAGTTTAATAAGCACTTACATAAATTTTTTAAAAAAATTCTTATAAAATAAAGTTGAATTTCTAATATCTTAAGAGTTCTGAAATTAAAAAAAAGCCTCTTATAGAACTTATAAAATACTTGCAGACTCCAAATTCACATAGCTAAGGCAAATCATTAACCAACAAGACTGATTTAACCATTTTAGTTTAATAAAAACAGCTGTATCCTCTCTGATTCATCAGTGTGAAGTTTCCCTTTCCCTCTACATTTCAAGCCAATCAAGCTAAAGTTCTGATCATGCCATGCTGTTTCCCAACCCTGCACAGGCTGTCCTCTGCAGCTGGCATTTACTGCCTGTCTTGATTCTGTGGAAATCTTACTGTTTGTGTAAAATTAAGCTCAATGAGCACATGTTCCGTGGTCATGCCTCCTCCACACCTGTGCTGTCCGGGGTTAGTAACAGTAATAACTATAATGATAAGTATATGGAGCCATGTGACAGTAAACGCTCACCACTGTGACCATCTAACCCACCCCCACAGCAAGTGACCAGTGAACTTCGCTCCTTTTCTCTTCTCTCCTACTCCCTCAAGTTAACCTAGGGTTTTGCATGCTTAGCGTTTTGACAGTTACCTGAAACACTGTTTCAAAACGTCGGTTGAAAAGGGAAGATAAAATCTTACACCTGGACCCAGGAAGAGAGGGGTGGGGAGTGGCCCACAGGAAGCCAAACGGGAAGCGCGGCCTTGGCTCACAACACAGTCCTGCTCCTTCCCGAGTTTCGCAGCTGGGAAAGCAGCGGCCTGGGGCCCGGACCGCCCGGGCTTTTGGGGAAGGCCGAGGGAGGGACACAGACCCGCGCAGGGTCTGCGGCCCTGGGGTCGGGGTCCGCAGGGACTCACCGTCTGTGCAGCGGCTCCTGGGCCACGGCCCGGCGGGCGGCGGCGCCGGCTGAGGGGGCTGAGGCGGCGACGGTACCGGCTGAGAGGCCTGAGGCGACGGTACCAGCTGAGAGGCCTGAGGCGGCGGCGGTACCGGCTGAGGGGCCTGAGGCGACGGCGGCGGTTCCGGCTGAGGTGAGCTGAGGCGGCGGCGGCGGCGGGCCGGCTGAGGGGGCTGAGGCGGCCTCTGCTGTTGCTGGAAGGACTTGAGGGACTCCAAGGCCTTCACCGGCTTTTCCAGGGTCGCCATGGCGGCCTTCCGTCCCGCAGGGACAGCCCCAGGAGTCGCTGGGCCGACTGGCGGCTCCGCTCAGCAGCGGCGGCAGTGAATGGGGCTCGGGGCCGCCAGCAGATGCGGAATCCAAGCGCCCGGCCATCTTGGAGCCGTCCCGACAGCCCCCGCGGCCCTGCGTCCTGCTAAGCTCCGCTGGTGGGGCGGGGCCAGGCTCCGGGATTGACAGCCGGAGGCAGCGGCCTCCGCCAATGGCTGCCCCGCCCGCTCCTTGGGCTCAAAGAGCCACCACGGCTGCTGGAATCACTGCGTTCTTCCCAGCGAGGGGCGAGGGGTACTGCACGGAGATAGGAAGGGCGGCTCGGGGGCGGAGTTGCATGGCACGGCGAGGAGGGTGCGGAGGGCCTGGTGACTTCGGATTGAGGGTCTCTCTCGGCGAGGGGCGTCCTTTCTCAGCGGAAGCCCCTCTTGGAGATGGGCGTCCCCGGCCGATGCCTAGTGGGTGGCAGGGAGGGCGGGCAGTGGGCTGGGAGCCCGAGACCCCCGCGGGGCCCTTGCCAACCCCACGGCGCTGGCGGAGGGCGGGCTCGCCGGACAGCCTGCAGGGGAGGGAGGGGGAAGTGAGCTCGCCCCGCGCGGAGCCAGAGGACTCCTCAGGTGTGGATGGAGAGGGGCCCTGAGGGGCCAGTCTGCAGCCAGAGAGGGAGCGGAGAGGATTGGGGGAGGCCCTGGGTCAGGCATGGGTGGTAAGAAGTTCCCTGGTCAGTGCCTGCTGCCAGAGAGGCTGGGCAGGTGCAGCGAGAAGCGGCTTTGACCCCTGAGACGCAGATCCTAGCAGATAGGTGCTGACACGGTCTTCCTCGGTGCCTGTCACCAAGGGTTTCCGGTCGCCGGCCGCCTGCAGGGCTCTGGGCTTTCCTCTGCGTGGGCCCTGGCCTGATAGCAGACTCTGCTTCTGACAATTGAGCCGCCCGCCTGGGCCTGCGCGCCGCCTCTCGTGTGCGCGTCCGGCTGACGTGGCCCGTGGTGCCACGGAGCAGAGTCCCTTTGCATCTCTAAGGCCCGGGTATTTCCTAGAGAGAAGTTTGGCTTGCCCGGAAAGTACCACCTTCCCCCATTCCCACCCACAGCCATTCAGAAGTAGAGGACCAGCATTGAGAGTCTAGGATCAAAGAGCTATGCTTTGCTTCCATTACCACAGCTTCGGTGAATGTGCACCATCTCTCGTCCTCCACTGCATATCTCTATTAGAGTCCTTTCATCACAAAGGCAGCAAGATGAACAGTGGGCTGGGCTGTCCCTCCTGATCTAGCAAACTATCATTTCAGTTTTCCAGACCTCTGCAACCCTCTTGGACTAAACAGATTTCCACTACTTAGCAAGAGGATATTCCTTTGGGCTCCAGGAAGGGACTGCGGCATTTCCCACAACTGCAATTAATTTCTCACACATGTGGTTAGTTAATTAGCTTCTGTCTTTCCTGCAAAGCTGTAAGTGTCTTAAGGGCAGGGAACCATCACTTGATGCTACTTTCAAGGCAAAGCCAGCTCCTCACTGTCACCTGCTGGCCCACATGATTCCTCCCCTCCTGCCTAAGGGCCTCTGAACTTGCTCTTCCCTTGGCCTGCAGAGCTCTTTCCCAGACACCTTCACAGCCTGCATATTCCCCTCACCTGCTGTCTTTTTCTCTTTCGCACTTACCCCTATCTAACAGATTGTACATTTTGCATATTCTCTTGCTTGGGTATCTCTCCCAACTAGAATGTGAATTCCAAGATGGTAAGGATTTTTGTGTTCATGGTGTGTCCTTAGCATCTAGAACAGTACCCAGATCACGGCTGCCCCTTAGTAAATAATCAGACACATGAATGAGTAAATGACCACCTTTCTAAGCAAAGGCACCCATCAAACAGCTTAGATGGGTGTTGAGTGCAGAATCTACCAGGAGTACTTTCTGCCCCAAGTCTGACACCCAAACGGGTTAGGGGTCCTTTGGGCATTTCAAGGTTCAACGGGACAGATTACTGCATAAAATATGCTGAACTGGCTGAACTGGCAGCGGTGGCCCCTGTGTGAGTGCTCTGCTGAGACTTGGATTCGGTGACGACTTGAACTCTTTAAAACCCTACCACATACTTTTTGGAAGTTTTTGTCAAAAGTACATTTTCAACACATTCAGTCTTTCTGAAATAAAAACTTATTTTCTCGTGGACTCCTGTATGTTCCGCACTCTGTGCATGAAGCACCTGACTAGGGTTTTTAGGAATATATTTGGCACTTGAGACCGTAGAAAGCTTTCATTTTTGTCCTCTGAGTATCTCGATTCTTCCACTGGGGCTTTGAACGTTTGCTGCTGCTGTTGTCCTGATGGGTCTGGGGCCCCTTCTGCTCCCCCTCCCTCAAGTTCTGGGTTTGTAACGAATGCAGAAACTAAAAACAACCAACTATAGAAAGCAAAAATGAAAACCTAAAATGAGGCTCTTAGGAAGACAAACAAAAAGCTAGATGGCTTCTGAAAAGTAGGAGAAGGTGGGGGTGGGGGGGTCTCAGCCCCACAGTGGGAACAATTCCAGGAAGTCAGAATGCAGAGACCCACCATTCTAACATGGGCGCAGATGCATTTA